CACACTTTGCCAATCTCGTCGATCGCTTTTGCGAATTAGCGAGCGCGCGCGCGCGCGCTTTTTCACGAAAAAAGGAACTACATCTCGTTTCGAGGTACGCAATTTTTGCCGACGACCATCAGTAGCGTTCCCGGCAGACCCGATAATTACTTCGTCGCTAATGTCTTCGTGCCACAATACTTCGCCTTTCCGATGACCTTCGATCCAGCTGTTAATGCACATTCTCGACATTACTGCTCGTATATTCCGTGAACCAATCAATTTAATTACAGCTTCTCGTGCATGCCGAGGGAATGCACAATGCAACCGTTCGCTTCATCGAGCGCGATGCAAATTTACTCCTTAATGCCGTTAATTATAGACCGCCGTTCAAACACTCTCGTTATCAGTGGCTTTGAATCAGGCGTTTCGAAAAAACAAAAAAAAAAAAAAAGAACCCAAGTCATCAAAAAATGACAGCCATGACGTCTAATTCCAGATAGATTTTTCCTCGCTCGGCGCCGTTTCCCACTTGCGCCAAGTTAAACTCCGCGCTTTCGTCTCTGACGCGAGCATTTGATTGAAGATTTCCAAACGCGATACGCCGAGACCACCGTGAGACGAGATTGTGTCAGAGTTTTTTAGACGGACCTAAGTGGACGTCTTCGAAAATCCGTTTTTATGTCGTTAATTATAGATTACCGGGCTGCGAGAGCGCTTACCTATTTATCGAGACGTCAAATCTTAACGGGAGATTGAATAAAACAAGAAAAACGGCGCGCGCGTATTAAGTTCTTACGAAGAAATGATTTAAAAAGCGTTCCGCCGTGTGCTGCTCTGCTAAAAGCGAAGAATTTAAAAAAATTCGGTAAGATGAAAGAGAGAGTAAAATAATAAAACAAATAGCTTGTGTAAATAAATGTAAATTGTAATAAATAAAATTTGTATAAATAAGTATTAATCTGAAAGTATTAAATAAAATTAAATGTAAAACTTCTTTTTTTTTTTCCCGTATCTGCTACCTTAAAGAAACATCACCGTTTGCGCCACGTGCGGCTCTTACGAACAAGCCTAAGAGCGATCTGATACTATTCTCCTGCCTTGTACTCCCTGCTGAAACTATCGTGTTGCTAAACAAACGCCGCGCTTCCTCTATTTTTTACTTTATTTTTATTTTTTTATTTTTATTTTTTTTCAACAACGTTTAACATGCCGCGGGGATCTGAGAAGCGTGTCATTACGGGCGCGGCATAAAAGGAATCATCGATAAGAAAGGTGTTGAGAGCGAGATCGAGATACGCGAACTGTCTTAAACCGCATGGCGTCCGGAGGTGCTAAGCGGCTCACGGCGAGGTGTTATATGCGCAACATATGAACATCAGATACAAGACGATAGGACGCGTACGCGAGATTCTCTTTTATCGGATCGACACAAATCGTCGACCGACGGCTTACGATTCCCGGTCGCGCTATGCAATTTCGCGAGATCGTGATGATTTCTGACAACGGTGAAACGTAAAATCATCGTAAAAAAAAAAAAAAAAAAAAAATAAACGTTCCGAGTCGAATTTAGATAGCAATATATTTTATGACGCTGAGAATTTGAAGAAATAATTAGACGGCGAGAAAACAAAAGACAATATCTTGACGCGTAGTTTTTACACGTGTCTCTTTTTTTCTTATTCAACGTGTTATAGAAGTTTTGTTAGAGGGAGAAAGAGAGAGAGAGAGAGAGAATAGATCTGATTTGTGTTCAAGTTATAAGATTCTCACACACAGCGCGTCGCCTAATATGAACAGAGGAACTCGTAGCCGCAGGCGGCTTTTTGTGCAGGCCACGAAGCGTGGAATTAACTGGTGCTTCCCCCTTTTCTAAAACCAACACGTAATTATCTCACCGGCGTTTGCGTTCGGTGAGATTCTTTTTGCCCGGGCTCTTTTTCCGCCGACAGGTTCGGCAAGCGACGATACCCGATATTTACATGGCAGGTGATATCAATTATCGCCCGTGAGCCGTCGATGCCCCGGAGCCAAGATTGCAGCCGAATCCGAGTCTTGAATGGTTCCTCGCCAATTTGCTTGGATTCGCGCCTTCGTCATTTTTCTTTCGTACCTATATCCTCTATAGTACTCATAGTTAGCGCCGCACGATATCATAACCAACGGTTGTTGGGATCTACCCAATTTCTGAGAGACTGCTCGGCAAGATTCGCGAACAAAATCAAACACTTTGCATGATTTTTGAAAATCTCAGGATCGATGCAATCGAATGTAGTCTTTGCACGCACCAATGCTTTGTTGTAAAAAAAATATTGTTTGTTGTGTAAAGCTCTGTAACGGATAATAAATAAAAATTTAAAACGCTTTATAAAATACGCGTCTATTTTTATGTCCTTCGGTTCTCGTGTGTGTAAAAAATGCTTAGAAATTGGTGGAATGCAAAAGTGAATATATTATCATTATTTACCAGTCAACACTCTGTGTCTTTTTCTCTTTCTCTCTCTCTTTCCCATTTGTACACTTGAGGACGTACACAGACGACCGATTTTTCTTGCTTCTCCCGAGATTGGGCGTAACGTTCCGTTGCAGCTGAAGCCAAACGGTGACTCGATAAGTACCGTGATGGTCCCCCGGGGCAAAAACAAATAATAACTCGACCACGAGAGGGGCTCTCAGTTAGGCTACGACGTCCGGAGGCTCCCATCTTTCGCTTTACTCTTCGAGACGACTATCGCAATTTTGAAAATGGTTGTCTCATCACGAAGGCAGTAAGAGAGAGAGAGAGAGGAGAGAGTGCCCGAGCTTGGGACGCTGTCGATTACAGGGCGCGCCGTTGCTCGTCGTATCCCGGTGTTGGTTTTCGAGCCTTTTGTGTTAAAAAGACGCGCGTAATCATTCTCCTCTACCGAATGAAGCCGATGCTTTTACGAACGCATAGAGAATCAAGAGAAGATCCAACAAGGTAGGAGAGAAGAAGAACGCCCCATAGTCTGGCCCCCTTTCGTTCGCCCCGTGCCGCTTCCGATCGCCCTCCGGGGCCCGTAACGAGCCCGACTGGCCGACTTTTTTGCCGCGTCGTGAGCTTAGCATAGGGAATCACCGTACATGCTTCGACAACAGGTGTCAGGATGACCGGCTTTCGATCGAGCGTGCTGAAATTGCAGCCTCTTGCGCACAAACTTGCGGTAGTGTCGACCGGTCGCGTGAGTGACTTTGCATACGCCGCGATTACGCGGCTTATGAACGGCCACGCTCGTTCGCCGTCGCCGCCGCCTTTATTCGCGCGCGGTTTATGCAACGGGCGTGCGATTCATTCACGGTCGCGTGTGACAGCTTTATTTAAGATGTATCGCGTACGAAGAGGAACATTAATCGTCGGAAACGTATAATCGATCGCCAAGCGAATATATCGCGATACGCGATTACGAAGATGATAAATTCACCGATTGACAATTAAGCGTAACGAGATTTTGCGACTTGATGACAGGGTTTTGTCTTAATTCGCGCAAATCTTAAATAACGTACTTTACGATGTTGGATGATTTTCTCAAGTGCATCGAAAGCATCATCATCAAAAAAAAAAAAAAAAAGAATGTAATTTCGCGCTTACGAATGAGTGAGAATTTGTTGGTTGCGCCGCGGACTCTAAACGCGTGGTTTATGTTATGATTTATAGGATTTGTTATTTCGCGTGGACCACGCTGCGCGCGGAAACGAGGTGGGGCCGTTGTTAACGCGACGAACCGACAAAAGAATGCGCGGCGGGACGCACCTGTGCACCATCAGGCGGAAATTGCGAACGCTTCTTCGTACCTCAAGTATGTTTTTAAAAGATGCGATCCGTTTTTGCGAGCTGAATCGGTTTGTCCGCAGAAACGTCCTTCGCCGCGCGAAGACGCGTGTACGTGTGTCACACAGCAAATACACACACACACATACGTAAGCGAAAAACAACCTTCGTTCTGAAGCCAAAACGAAAGAGCGAGGCGGAAAGCCAGGAAGAGAATTCGGGCGAGACAAAAAGATAGAACGCGCCCGACTACAAATTCGTTTCTCAGCAAAGTGGCGCAGCTGTGCCACGGTCACGACTGTGTCAGCATTCGAACAACACAGATATAGTTTTATTGACTGTTTCGCATTTACGTGGTTTTTGCATGTGTTCTTCTGTAAATTCCGTTCATCCTGTGACTTCGCGAATTCTGTCAGCTTCGATACACGTGTCGAAGACAGTCGCTTATGTGTGAGCAAACACTCGCGAGTTATAAATTATATTGTTCTTGCAATTGAGGATTTATGTTGCCATATCGTATAAGAATAAAACACATATAATTATTGCTTCTTTGTCTCTCAAAGTAATTTATTGCTCCTAACAATACATAGTTGTTTATTGAGTGTGATATCGTTTAATGAATGTATATTTGTGAGTTTTTATCGAGTATTAGTATTTTTCGTTCTTTTTTTAATATATCACACGATATGTAACTATTCAAGAAACGGCGTGATAAACAATGGTTAAATAAATAGACGACGGTGAACACATGCGATAATAGCTGTCCGTTTCATTTCGCACTTACGCATCCGCTTAATCGTCTCATCTGACGAGCACAATTTACACGGTTCGAAATTATTCGCTTCCTAATCAACGAACGTCTATCACGTTTAAGGGCAAGAGATCGTGTAATCTGGAGCAATCGTTTCCGTGGATTGATGGGTGATTGATGAAGTGCGCGCGGTTCCAAAAAACAGCCTACACTACTTTCATAATTAAAGATTGAAAATGCGTGTAGTACTGATTAGTTTTCTGGATCTGTCCCACCAGAACGTAAAGAGAAACTTCTACAATTCTTTCAAGATTGAGAAAAAAGTAGCGGAGTGAAAATTGCATGTCGTAGTTAGTTTTACTTCAAAACTTGATAGACACTCGCGAATTAAACAGTACATACAAAAACATAATAATGGAAAATAAAAAACACTAAGAAACATTTAACTTTGCATATAATTTCTTAAGAACACAAAATATATCATATAATATCTTCGAAACACAATCTTGTTGTTTTGACAAATTATTTTATACAGTCTATAAAACTATAAAATTTATAAAAAAATTCTTAAATATATTATACAATTAAAATAATTTTTATATAAAAATTGTTATACATCCTATATTATTTCCATGGTTTAGAAGTACTCTTAGAGGGTGATTTTGTACTAGTTGATTTTGCCGGAGTGCTTTTTCTTGACGTACCCCGAGCGTATTTTGACGATGTTTTTGCAGGCAAATCTCGGGGTATCTTTGGTGAAAGATCTCTCAATGGTGGTGGTGATGATTCCATATGCTCTTTATGTGTCGATACTTCTGTTGTTTCTGCTTCACTTTTTTGTGTTTCTGTGATTGTTGATTGGTCTATTTTTGTGATCTATAAAACACAATAGATAATTTATTTGGGTGTATATTTATGTGATAATAATTGATTACACATTGTAAGTTTTACGTATATGTAATTCCTTTGTTTTTGCTTTACTCACAGTTTTTCAAAAAATATACAAAATTAACTTATATATACTAATCGAATAATATAAGAATAAATAAAACCAATATAAATATTGAACTTCAAAATTATAATGACATTGCAATTATCTACCTTCTTTTCGACACTTGTAGATAGTTTTGAACTTACTTTAAAATCTGTACTCCACATTTCAGACTCGAGATTATTTTGTGACTGCGTGATTGTGTCCTCATATTTTTTTATTATTTCTTGTTTTCGCAGTTTTTCTTCTCTGGTCATAGCAGTATATCTAAACACAAATATTACAGAACAGTGATGATTTATATAAAATGTAGAATAACATATAAATAATAAAATATATAAGTTTTACAATATAAATACTTACATATAAAAATACTATAAATTAATAAATATATACTTTTTATAATATAAATTACTAAACATATAATTTTTATATTAATTATTATATATTAGGTAAGTATAGTGGAAACTTTGAGTAGATTTACTTCTCGTATATTTCAGACTTCTTCTCAGAGTTGCATGTGTACACAATCAATTTTTCGGGATCACCGTCTACACGTTCCGTATGTATTAACCCTAACAACTCCAATTCTTTTATAATTATTACTAACATTTCTTTATTTGTTAAGGGTCTCCTAGAATTTTCCTAAAAACACAAAATAAATAATAGAATATTACAGACTTTACATCATAGTAGTATATTAACACTTTTAATTTTTGTCGTACGGCGCATGTGCGCCACGTAGCGTATCTTAAGACCTTTTGCCGTATACAGGTAAAATGAGCAGTCGTCGACTAAAGTCGACATTCGGCTGTGGAAGATACATTCGACAGTCATTATTTATACTTTCGATACCAACACTCAAATGATTAACACAGCATAATATCTCGTTTATACACACATGCGGGGACATGTATACACACACACACTCAAACATTTGCATGTTTTTTTCTTGCATTTCGAAGATATTATCTAGATATATTGTCAAATATATCTACATATTATTTGTATAAAGAAAGTATAATATGTATATACGTTACCTTTTTCACAGGTCTTGAATACTTCGTAACCAAATCCGTAAACAGGGCACAAAATCTTCGGTTGGCTTCTATATTTGCAGCGGTATAGCGCCACACATTTTCACGTTCCTCGTGATCTTCATCAAAATACTCATCTTGATTTTCCATTCGTATACTACCTCGGGCAATGTACTCGTCCAAAATATTTTGTTCTTCATCTAAGGTATACTTGTTTTAACCATGTTTCTCTAGTTTTGCTTCCGAATCTGTAGTTTCTTCTGGTTCCATTTTGTGCACTGGTAAGTCAACCGTGTACGAATTGAAAGCAGAAGAAAAACTACAGATTCGGAAGTAAACAAGAAACAACATGTTAAAAAAAGTATACTTACCACTGCCTGTAACCTGATTTATTTCTGCAGCAGTAGTTTCATTTTCTTCTTCTGAATTCCTTTCTACAGGATCCATTTTTCAAGATCAAGTTCTTTCTTTTCTTTTAGTAGCCCAACGATTTTGAAATTGCGCACACGAACAAAGTACTTTTCAACGACTGAGAGAGGACCACGACTGTGTAACGATTATATATGTCTTTAACAGTCCAACGTCTTTCTATGAAACCAATAGCGTGCTGCTACGTTTCGCTGCGTTGTACTTACTCCAATAATTTCTTCTTAGGATGCGATTTCGTAAAGCACGTAGTTTACGCGTAACCAATCACATCTCGTTCTGATTTGTGTGAAAGTTTGAAATATTGAAGCTCATTGGTTACAGCGGTGACACGAGGTGAATGCGTGCTGTTTTGAGATTTGCTTCTTGAAATTTCTATATCTCGTAAATACAGTTTAAGGTAATTACCGGGTTATTAGTATGCGGGCTGTATTTGAAAAACTTATTCAATCATTGTGTAACATAATCTGTAATATATCATAAAGAGCAGTAGTTTTTAAATCGTTTAAAATCGTGATTTATATAATTGTTATAGTTGCGCTACTTAGTCATAATATATATAATACACAAAGTAAGGTCCATCATATATGTAATACTTCTATATTGCTAACCACGTATCTGTGCAATAAGCGCGCCGAGAAAGTGAGATAGAAGATACGTGTAAGGTATTTTCATCCCGCTCATGCTCATTGGCGTCAAAATACATAACTTGTAGAAGTGAGAGAATCTTACGCGAAGTCGTATATGTCTATCTCGTAATGTTTTCGCCAGCGTTTCGCCTTCGCTAGCAGTATAGGAGTATTACATATATAAGAGCCATCGGTTCGCCATTTTGGCGGGACTTTGAATCTACTCTTGAGCGTTTTTTTCAGAAGTTATTCTCTTTTTCTCTCTCTCTTCTTTGTCAATTATTCGCTGCAACGCGTCACTCATGGAGCCGTGACGAGTGACGTCAATGATAAAATTTCTTTGGGGAACAACTAGTTGCCCAAAAATATATGTACCACGTTAGCCAAAGATCGAGTAGAGTTCAAGAGCGATGTGCCTAGGGTGTGTAAAGAAAGTTTTTGTCTCGATTTGTTTTTCGGTAATTCGCGTTTTCTTTCTCTCTTTGTTATTATTTTTGTTTTTTTCTTGTTTGTTCGTCGCTTTCTTGCGCGGCAGTCAAGATTTTTCCGAATTGTTTGGTGATTGAGAAAATACTTAATGATGGACGGATCTTGGTAGCCAACTGACGAATATCTTTGGCGTATGCAGATGTACTATACGCACGTCACAACCCACTGCGCTCGTTTTTTAAATAAAATTTTATTACGCGCGATAATTTGACAACAATGTTTTTACACATCAATTATGCTTGCTTGACGCTTATCTTCTCCACTCTTCTTGCCATTATAAAGAGCCGTCTACAATGGAGAGTTGTAGGCCGTAATAGTAAGAAATTGACCAATCACAGACAAAGTACAGAAGAATAATCGATTGTGATTTGTCAATTTCTTACTGTTACGGTCTAAAACTCTCCATTGTAGACGGCTCTTAATATAAAAACACTATTGCTTACAAATAAGTCAAAAACTTATTTAAAGTATTTTAAAATGTCAAAAGAGTGGTTTTAAAGAAAAATATCTCGTCAAATATAACATCATGGAACAAATGCTCTTTATCAAACTTAGAGGAAAAAATGTACATGTGTTTTATTTTTTATTTTACAAAGAATAGTATATGTATAATATGTTGCAGATAAAACTACTACTGTTCGCGAATTGTCTGATCGGGCGTCTGCAAAGTGGCTAGCAAAATATATTTTGTTTTATCCGTAATTTTGTAGTTTTGCACTTGACACTAACTTTAGCATGTTCTTACAAATATATAAAAAGCTTCGGCGCGTTTCTATCGTTTTGTAACACTTTCTCCAATATTTAATATTTCCGACGTCGGATGTCCTTAATTGTTCGAAGAGATACGACACTCCATAGGTGCAGTAACTTCTTTCACTATCGGTAACCGTTACTCCACGTACGATTGCATCCTACACGGAGATGCGGCGACTGTTTGAAGTTTGACACTCGCAAATTAGAAATTATATTGTTCTTGCAATTGAGGATTTATGCTGCCTTATCGTATAAGAATTAAACACATATAATTATCGCTTATTTGTCTCTCAAAGTAATTTATTGCTCCTAACGATACATAATTGTTTATTGAGTGTGATATCGTTTAATGAACGTATATTTGTGAGTATTTATCGAGTATTAGTAGTTTTTGTTCTTCTTTTAATATATCACACGATATGTAAAATTTCAAGAAACGGCGTGGTAAACAATGGTTAAATAAATAGACGACAGTGAACACATGCGATAATCGCTGTCCGTTTCATTTCGCACTTACGCATCCGCTTAATGCAACATCGAAAGAAGAAGCGAACGGACGCACGGCATTAAGACGAATCGCGAGGCTAATCGCTGTCGTTTATGAAACTGCTTTGCGACAGTAACCGAGCGAGTGGCTGACACGTTAATAAGTCAAACACTTTTTAAGCCGAAGAGCGTGCTGCTGAAAGTGCGTTTAATTACGTCATGGAAAGTCTAACGTTATAACATAATACCGCACGCACGACAAAAGCGAGATAAAGTCGTCTCATCTGACGAGCACAATTTACACGGTTCGAAATTATTCGCTTCCTAGTCGACGAACGTCTATCACATTTATCGGCAAGAGATCGTGTAATCTGAAGAAATCGTTTTCGCGGATTGATGGGTGATTGATGAAGTGCGCGTGGTTCCAAAAAACAGCCTACACTACTTTCATAAGTAAAGATTGAAGATGCGTGTAGTACTGATTAGTTTTCTGGATCTGTCCCACCAGAACGTAAAGAGAAACTTCTGCAATTCTTTCAAGATTGAGAAAAAAGTAGCGGAGTAAAAATTGCATCTCGTAGTTAGTTTTAATTAAAAACTTGATAGACACTCGCGAATTAAATAGTACATACAAAAACATAATAATGGAAAATAAAACACACTAAGAAACATTTAACTTTGCATATAATTTCTTAAGAACACAAAATATATCATATAATATCTTCGAAACACAATCTTGTTTTTTTGACAAATTATTTTATACAGTCCATAAAACTATAAAATTTATAAAACAATTCTTAAATATATTATACAATTAAAATAATTTTTATATAAAAATTGTTATACATTCTATATTATTTCCATGGTTTAGAAGTAATCTTAGAAGGTGATTTTGTACTAGGTAATTTTGCCGGAGTGCTTTTTCTTGACGTATCTCGAGCGTATTTTGAAGATGTTTTTGCAGGCAAATCTCGGGGTATCTTTGGTGAAGAATCTCCCAACAGTTGTGGTGGTGGTTCCATATGCTCTGTATGTGTCGATACTTTTGTTGGTTTTGCTTCATTTTTTTGTGTTTCTTGGTATTGTAGTTTTTTCTCTTTAGACATACTACGATATTTAAACACAAATATTTTAAAAAAGTGATGTATGTAGAATCAAATATAATAAAAAATATATAGTTTACATTATAAATAATTAAATATATAACCAATACAAATTAATAAATTTATACTTTTAAAAATATAAATTACTAAACATATAATGTTAATACACTGAGAAAAAAAAGTTGTTGAAATAACAAAATACTATTCGATTCAACTATATGCAGCGGTCACGGGCTGTCAATGAAATATTGATTAATGCAAGAAGATATCATGTTTCAATAGATATAATAATTAGGTTATACCGAAAGACAATTTAGTTGTTTCAACAAAATTATAATTTGCTTAAATACAGGTAACTTTGAATGTACAACACAATAGGACAACACAATATTTTGTCTGCTTATAAAAATAAGCAGTTTGATTAGATAAAATACTTAGTACAAAGAAATTCAGATTATATTTAATTAAAGTAAATGAGAATTGCCTATTTCATCTTTTTTAACAGTATCTTTTGTTTGAAATTATCACAACTTATGTTCGACAAAACAATTCATGGTTTAGTGAATTAAATATGTTCATTACCACTATTGTTAATTCAACTTATACGAATTTGTTATCTTTATTACCATATGCTTGAATTAAAAAAACAAGATATTTTAGATAACAAACTGAAACTCAACTAAACGCATTTAGTTGAGTTAATAGTATTTTTTTCTCAGTGTATTAATTATATTATCTAGTAAATGGAAATACTGTAATCTTTGGATAGATTTACGTTTTGATTATTTCAGTCTTCTTCTCAGAGTCGCATGGGACATACACAACAAACTTTTCAGGGTCACCTTCTATAGGTTCGAAATAACTCATACCTAATAACTTTAGTTGTTCAAAGATGGTCGTTATAAGTGTGGACTTTTCGAGTGGTCTACTCGAATATATCTAAAAACAAGACAGCATAAATAATAGAATATTAAAGATAATTCTCGCCCGTAGAAAATATATTCGGCAGCCATTAATTATTTTCTTTTACTTTCGCCAACAACACTCAAAAGATTAACACAACATAATATCTCGTTTATATACTGGTGTATACACACACACATCCTTACACATTTGCATGTATTTTCCTTGCATTTAGACTATATTGTCTCTTATAATTAGATATTATTTTGGTAAAGAAAATATAGTATGCATATACATTACCCTTTTCACAGGTGTTAGATACTTCGTAACCAAATTCTTCAACAGAGTAGAAAATCTTTGACATGGTTCTCCAGTCGCTACGTCGTAATGCCACATGTTTGCCAGTTCATCATAGTCTTCATCACACTCTTCATCCGAATATTCGTCGCGTTCATGAACTTCGCGTATATACTCGTCCAAAGTATGTTGTTGTTCATCTAAGGTATACTTGTTTTAACCATGTTTCTCTAGTTTTGCTTCCGAATCTGTAGTTTCTTCTGCTTCCATTTCGTGCACTGGTAAGTCAACCGTGTACGAATTGAAAGCAGAAGAAAAACTACAGATTCGGAAGTAAACAAGAAACAACATGTTAAAAAAGTATACCTACCACTGTCTAAAACCTGATTTACTTCTGTAGCAGTAGTTTCATTTTCTTCTTCTGTATTCCTTTCTACAGAATCCATTTTTCAAGATCAAGTTCTTTCTTTTCTTTTAGTAGCCCAACGATTTTGAAATTGCGCACACGAACGAAGTACTTTTCAACGACTGAGAGAGGACCACGACTGTGTAACGATTATATATGTCTTTAACAGTCCAACGTCTTTCTATGAAACCAATAGCGTGCTCCTACGTTTCGCTGCGTTGTACTTCCTCCAATAATTTCTTCTTAGGGTGCGATTACGTAGAGCACGTAGTTTGCGCGTAACCAACCACATCTCGTTCTTTTTCGTGTGAAAGTTTGAAATATTGAAGCTCATTGGTTACAGCGGTGACACGAGGTGAATGCGTGCTGTTTTGAGATTTGCTTCTTGAAATTTCTATATCTCGTAAATACAGTTTAAGGTAATTACCTGGTTATTAGTATGCGGGCTGTATTTGAAAAACTTATTCAATCATTGTGTAATATAATCTGTAATATATCATGAAAAGCAGTAGTTTTTAAATCGTTTAGAATCGTGATTTATATAATTGTTATAGTTGCGCTACTTAGTCATAATATATATAATACACAAAGTAAGGTCCATCATATATGTAATACTTCTATATTGCTAACCACGTATCTGTGCAATAAGCGCGCTGAGAAAGTGAGTTAGAAGATACGTGTAAGGTATTTTCATCCCGCTCATGCTCATTGGCGTCAAAATACATAACTTGTAGACGTGAGAGAATCTTACGCGAAGTCGTATATGTCTGTCTCGTAATATTTTCGCCAGCGTTTCGCTTTCGCTAGCAGTATAGGAGTATTACATATATAAGAACCACCGGTTTGTTATTTTGGCGGGACTTTGAATCTACTCTTGAGCGTTTTTTTCAGAAGTTATTCTCTTTTTCTCTCTCTCTTCTTTGTCAATTATTCGCTGCAACGCGTCACTCATGGAGCCGTGACGAGTGACGTCAATGGTAAAATTTCTTTCTTCAATATTTACTATTTTCGACGTCGGATGTCTTTAATTGTTTGAAGAGATACGACACGCCATAGGTGCAGTAACTTCTTTCACTATCGGTAACCGTTACTGCACGTACGATTGCGTCCTACACGGAGATGCGGCGACTGTTTGAAGTTTGACACTCGCAAATTAGAAATTATATTGTTTTTGCAATTGAGGATTTATGCTGCCATATCGTATAAGAATAAAACACATATAATTATCGCTTATTTGTCTCTCAAAGTAATTTATTGCTCCTAACGATACATAATTGTTTATTGAGTGTGATATCGTTTAATGAACGTATATTTGTGAGTTTTTATCGAGTATTAGTAGTTTCCGTTCTTCTTTTAATATATCACACGATATGTAAAATTTCTAGAAACGGCGTGGTAAACAATGGTTAAATAAATAGACGACAGTGAACACATGCGATAGTCGCCGTCCGTTTCATTTTGCACTTTCGCATCCGTTTACTTCAACATCGAATAGAGAAGCAAACGATCGAATGGCCATTAAGACTAATCGTTATCGTATATGGATAATGTCGGCGATTTAGAAGCTGCTACTCTCTTAAGTAATGGTTTTTTACCTAGACTAATTAAACTGCCACGGTTGCTTTATTTTGACGTTAATTTAGATATTGATGTTAGTGAGAGTGCAACATCTTGATGAACAGTAGTTTTTAAATTGTTTAGAATTGTGATTTATATAATTGTTATAGTTGCGCCGCTTAGTTAGTCTAAAAATTATTACACAAAGTAAGGTGCACCCAGTTCGACATCTTGGCGGGATTTTTATTCTATTCTTGAGCATCTTGTAGTTTCTGAAGTTATTCTTTCTTTTTTTTTCTTTCTCTTTTTTTCTTTTTCTCTTTCTCTTTTTTTCTCTCTCTCTCTTTATTTTTGGACAATTGTACACTGTTAAACGTTGGTGCGCTGATAGAACAGTGAAGAGAGGCGTCCATAAAACATCTCCCTAGAAGAAAAAGTAGTTGCTCTAAAATATATATACAACGAGAATGGATTGGCAGAGTGAAAGGGCGGAGCGTTCAAAGTGTGTGAAGAAAGTTTTTGTCTCGATTGTTTCTCGGTAATTCGCGTTTTCCCTATCTTGTCGTTGCTATCTTTGTTTTTTTCTTGTCCGTCCGTCACTTTTTTGCACGGCAATCGAGTCTTTTCGTGACTTGTTTGGTGATTGAGAAAATAATTAATGACGGACGGCGCTTGTTAATCACCTTACAAATATCTTCGGCGTATGCAGATGTAATATACTCACATAGGTATTGCGCTTGTTTTGTTTTAAATAAAATATTACTATGCCCGATAATTCGACGACAATGTTTTACGTTGCATCGGTTATGCTTGCTTGACGCTCATCTTCCTCACTTCTGGCGATTACTACAAAAACACTATTACATAAAATGACCGAAACTCTTATTTAATGTATTTTCTACTGACAAAATATTTTCTTCTCTGGTCATAGCAGTATATCTAAACACAAATATTACACAACAGTGATGATTTATATAAAATGTAGAATAACATATAAATAATAAAATATATAATGTTTGCAATATAAATATTTAAATATAAAAATACTATAAATTAATAAATATATACTTTTTATAATATAAATTACTTAACATATAATTTTTATATTAATTATTATATATTAGGTAAATATAAATAGGGTAAACTTTGAGTAGATTTACTTTTCGTATATTTCAGACTTCTTCTCAGAGTTGCATGCGTACACAATCAATTTTTCGGGATCACCGTCTACACGTTCCGTATGTAATTATCGTAACATATCCAACTCTTTTACAAGGACCGGCCCAGTGGTCTCGCGGCTTGAGTGCAGGAGCTGCGGACTCGGAGTTCTCGAGTTCGAATTCACCCATTTACCTAAAGGAATTTTTTCCGGGCCGGTCCCTTGTAATCGAGTATATCGATTGATTGGCGAACAGATCGAGACTCCAAAAACTTAAATTCGAGTGTAATCTCTCGAATTTAATCATCCTCCCACAAGGCGATCAAAGTCAAAACAATCTCGAACACGAGCCCGACACAAATGGGCACGCCCACTGTATTAACCCTAATAAGTCCAATTCTTTTATAATTATTGTTAAGATTTCTTTTTTTGTTAAGGGTCTTCTAGAATTTTCCTAAAAACACAAAATAAATAATAGAATATTACAGACTTTACATCATAGTAGTATATTAACAATTTTAATCTTTGTCGTACGGCGCATGTGCGCCACGTAGCGTATCTTAAGACCTTTTGCCGTTTACAGGTAAAATGAGCAGTCGTCGACTAAACTCGACATTCGGCTGTGGAAGATACATTCGACAGTCATTATTTATACTTTCGATAACAACACTCAAATGATTAACACAGCATAATATCTCGTTTATACACACATGCGAGGACGTGTATACACACACACACTCAAACATTTGCATGTATTTTCCTTGCATTTCAAAGATATTATTTAGATATATTGTCTAATACATCTAGATATTATTTGTGTAAAGAAAATATAATATGTATACACGTTACCCTCTTTACAGGTTTTGAATACTTCGCAATCAAATCCGTAAACTGGGCACAAAATCTTCGGTTGGCTTCGTCAGTTGCAACGTCATAGCGCCACATATTTGTACGTTCCTCGTAATCTTCATCAAAATACTCATCTTGATATTCCTCTCGTATAATAGCTTCGGTAATGTGCTTGTTCAAAGCATTTAGTTCTTCATTTAAGGTATGCTTGTTTTAACCATGTTTGTCTAGTTTTGCTTTCGAATCTGTAGTTTCTTCTGGTTTCATTGTATGCACTGTTAAGTCAACCGTGCACGAATTGAAAGCAGAAGAAAAACTACAGATTTGGAAGTAAACAAGGAACAACATGTTAAAAAAAGTATACCTACCACTGTTTGTAACCTGATTTATTTCTGTAGCAGTAGTTTTATCTTCTTCTTCTGAATGTTTTTCTACAGGATCCATTTTTCAAGATCAAGTTCTTTCTTTTCTTTGTAGCCCAACACCGCTTTTGAAATTGCGCAAACGTACGAAGTACTTTTCAACGACTGGAAAAGGACTGTATAACGATTTTTTATGTTTTTAACTGTTTAACGTCTTCCTATGAAACCAATAGCGTGCTGCTACGTTTCGCTGCGTTGTACTTCCTCCAGTAATTTCTTCTTAGGGTGCGATTTCGTAGAGCACGTAGTTTACGCGTAAGTAATCACATCTCGTTCTTTTTCATGTGAAAGTTTAAAATATTGAAGCTCATTGATTACAGCGGTGACACGAGGTGAATGCGTGCTGTTTTGTGATTCGCTTCTTGAAATTTCTATATCTCGTAAATACAGTTTAAGGTAATTACCGGGCTACTAGTTTCGCGGGCTGTATTTGAAAAAATTATTCAATCCTTGTGTAACATAATCTGTAATATATCATGAAGAGCAGTAGTTTTTAAATCGTTTAGAATCGTGATTTATATAATTGTTATAGTTGCGCTAGTTAGTCATAATATCTTTAATACACAAAGTAAGGATCCATCATATATGTAATCCTTCTATATTGCTAACCACGTATCTGTGCAATAAACGCGCCGAGAAAGTGAGAGAGAAGTGAGAAAGTCTTACGCGAAGTCGTATATGTCTATCCCGTAATGTTTTAGCCAGCGTTTCGCCTTCGCTAGCAGTATAGGAGTATTACATATATAAGAGCCATCGGTTCGCCATTTTGGCGGGACTTTGAATCTACTCTTGAGCGTTTTGTACTTTTTGAAGTTATTCTCTTTTTTTCTCTCTCTCTTCTTTGTCAATTATCTTCTGCCACACGTCACTCATGGAGCAGTGACGAGTAACGTCAATGATAAAATTTTTTTGGAACACAATTAGTTGCCCAACAATACATGTACCCCGTTTGCCAAAGATTGGATGGAGTGCAAGAACGATGAGCCCATGTTGTGTAAAGAAAGGCTTCGTCTCGATGTGTTTCTGGATATTTCGCGTTTTCTCTCTTTTCTGTTCTGTGTTCTCTTTCTTGTTCGTCCGTCGTTTTTTTGCCCGGCAGTCAAGCCGTGTTGGAAGTTTCTTGGAAATTGAGAGAACAATTAAGAAAAAGCGATGCTTGGTAGTCAACTGAGAATTATCTTAGGCGTATGCCGATTTTTTATACGCACGTTGCAACTCACTGAGCTCGGTTTTTTAAACAAAATATTATTGTGCGCGGTAATTTGACGACAATGTTGTACGTTGTATCGGTTATGTTTGCTTGATGCTCATCTTCCTTACTTCTAGCGATTACAAAAACACTATCGCATAAAATGATTGAGACTTTTAATTAAAGTATTTTCAATATTGATTTTACTGAAAAATATCTCGCCGAATATGATAGCATAATACAAATGCTATTTATCAGAAGAAAGAGTATACGTGTTTAGTTTTATAATTGAAAACTTGATAGACATTCGTGACTTAGACAGTGCATGTAGAGACATAATAATCGAAATTAAAAAAGCAGTAGAAGAAATCAACTATTAGTATCTAATATCAAATAACACAAGAAAGAATTTTACTTAGCATATAATTTATTAGGAACACAAGAATTAGCATATAATTTATTAAGAACACAATCTTGATTGTTTGACAAGTTATAAATTATTAGTTATAAACAATGTATATGTACAATACTTAACAATAATATAGTAACAATACATAATATATATAAATATATTTTTAAGATAATTATTCAATTATAATAATTTAATAAAGTATTCATACAGTCTGCAAAAGCAGTAAATATTATATTATCTATTTAGTTGTATAATATAGAATATAATATAATATAATATAATGTATTATATATGTATATATTATATATATATACGCACCTTTGTCACATCTAAGCTAAAAGAATTGTCGAATTTGCAAGTTGTAATTATCTCTTCCTTTTGCAAGAGGTAATTATATATTTATTGCTTATGGAGACTGTATAAATAATTTGTCAAAATTACTATTGCATAAGTATCGCACATATGTATTGTTGATTTAAATTTTGCACGATAAAAAGCACATGTGTTAATATCAAAACGATATATATAAATGTTGTGAAAATGGCTGATGTGAACCAATTGCAGGATGTTTTGCATTAATAATATTGAATACTTAAACAAAACGTTTTGACTTTATTCTAAGTCCTTTTAGGTGTGAATTTTTGGACAACAGTATAAATTCTGAAAACAACAAAGATCACAATACTATATAAAATTTGTATGATGTTAATAAATGTCAAAAACTAAGATAAATAATACGTCAATATCTTTAGAGTTGGTTAAGAACTCAGTTTGGACTTAAAGTAAAATCGGAACGTTTTGTTTAAGTATTCAATATTATTAATGCAAATCATCTTGCAGTTGGTTCACATCGGCCGTTTTCACAACATTTATTAGTTGGATTAACCGTCAAGGAACCGGAGATCATCCTTCTTTAATTCATTTTATTTAGAGATATAGAAAACTTGCAAACTCGACAATTTCTCTAGTTTAGATGTGACAAAAGTGCCTTCCGTTATTAAGTGTACTGAAACCGGTAAATAATCGCGAAAAGAGAACATGAAATAGCTCTTCTATGTTTCGCGTTCTTTTTCGATCGTTGATGATCAGTCACTTGATAGCTAGGATGAAACAACTCCGAGCTTTCTCCTTTTCAGGACAGAATCAAATTTTTGTCAAAAATATTACGTATAAAAATAATCAAACTAATAAATTTAACATATTATACAAAATTTTGAGTTAAATTTATTCAAATCGAGTTTTGTCCCCATATACGTTACCGATTGTCAGTACGTTTAATAACAGAATGCATTTTTGTCATATCTAAGCTAAAGGTATAGTTGAGTTTGAATTATCTCGTTTCGATATTGACACATTGCATTTATTGTGCAGAATCTAGATCAACAATATATTTGTAAGATAATTATCCAAGTATAATAAGTTTTTCAAATCATTAATATAGTTTTCAAAAAGAATAAATATAGAATTTATAATTTATTAAATATATAATATATAGTATTATATAATTATATTATATTATATTATATTATGTATTATACAATTAAATATATGAGATATTATTTATTGCTTTTGGAGACTGTATAAATTATCAAATTATCAAATAATCTTATCAAATTATTATAAGTGGATAATTATCTTACAAAAAATATTTATACATATATATATACATATATGTATTTATAATATAGTATTGTTAAGTATTGTACATAAATACATTGTTTATAAATAATAATTTGTCAAACAAACAAAATTGTGTTCTTAATAAATTATATGCTAATTCTCGAGTTCTTAATCAAGTTATATGCTAAGTTAAATTCTTTCTACTTTTTTTATTTTTGATTATTATGTTTCTACATTAACTAAGTCACAAATGTCTATCAAGTTTTCAATTATAAAATTAAACACGTGTACTCTTTGCCTCTGATAAATAGCATTTGTTTCATGCTATTATATTTGGCAAGATATTTTTCTGTAAAAAAACAATATTTTGACAATTGAAAATACTTTAATAAGAGTTTCAATCATTTTATGCGATAGTGTTTTTGTAGTAATCGCGAGAAGTGAGAAAGATAAGCGGTAAGCAAGCATAATCGATGCGACGTAACCCCCGGGATCTGCGGGCCCTCGGTGCATGATAAACATTTATAAATTTATAATATTCATAACATTACCTATCGGAGTTGNGANTGNCGAAANATCATTTANTGTATTAAGNAGACTTAAAAGTTATTTAANAAGTACCATGACACAGGAAAGAACATCTGATCTAACTTTATTATCAATTGAAAAAAATGTTTTGATTAATTTAAATTTGGAAGATGTTGCAAACAAATTTATGTCGGTTAAAGTTCAAAGAGGTGTTNGTTTCTAAATTTGCATACAAATAAAAAATCATTAAAAACTTTTGTCCAATTGCCTTTAATAAATAATAATAACAATAATAATAATAATGATAATAATAATTATTATTATTACTATTATTATTATTATTATTATTATTATTAATTAAAGGGCCCTCTCATCTTTGTCCTTGCACCGAAGTTTTACCAGTCTTAAAAACGCGCCTGGTCAGAGGGAGATGGACCACATGCATATTTCCTCAACTATTTGTTAGATGGCAGCGTGTATTTATGAGTGTATTTCTAAGTGCGTACTTACAAAAAAAAGCAGGAGAGTATTTATTTGAATCGCATTTGTATAACAGATTAGTATTTTGTATTTTTAATTTCAAGTAGGTGTGAAAAATTCTAGCTCATCAATCTTTGTTTGTGAAACGATCAAATGGATACATATTTTCTTACGTTTCTCGACATATTCTATCAATTTGAAACATTTTTAAAGATTTCATATGTACAAATTGTCAAATACTTTCTTGTGTAAAAAACTGCACTGTTGTTTTATCGGTTTTTTCAGTCTGCCAAGATAACTTATAACTGCAAATATGCCTTGGAAATAGGCAAGTGGGCCGAAGAACAATTAAAGATTTTATTTAAAGGGAAGAAATGAGTAGAAGAAAATTATAAAATGCAACTAAGAATAACAGTGCGTATTTGTTACACAATGTAAAGTATATCTAAAATTAAGTGTAATAATGTGTTTTTGTTAAAAAAATGTAAATTTTTGTAGAGATCCATCTATTTTCTATAGAGTAGTCCAACTCACCCAAGGGGATAAAAATAGATAAACCATTGTTATACTTTTTCATATTTCAATTTTTTAAAAAAGTATAATGTTCTTTGCTTCATTACCTATTATAATCATAAGTTCAACACATGTAGTAAATCATACATGAATGATGTTTTATTTGTTCTATTATTTATTACGTAATTCAACTTTAAAAAAAAAGTGGTCTATCTCTCCCCGACTTACCCTACGTAAAACCGCATACGTACAGAGGAGTGCATCATATCGTACCGTGTCAAGTATTTCTCGGAAATACCTTCTCTGGCTAACTCTACTACCGCGCGCCATTCTCCTTCGATCTCGGGCACGATATGGTTCACTTTTCTGTACAAGTAGAAACATTAATGCTTTTACATAAAGTTGTATCAATAATGTCACTATCTGATGAGCATCTTTTGACGTCAGTGACAATAGAAGTTTCTGTAGAGGTTGTGTCAAGTTTCTTGTGTTTTTTTTTTTGTATTGGTGTTTGTGGTGTTGATTTGTGTGATGTTGGTTTTTGTGTTGTTAATGTTTCTGGTGTTGATATTTAAGATCTATAAAACACATTAGACATTTTATTTGCACATGCGCGTATATTTAAAATTTGACTTACAAAAAATGATTGACACATTGTCATTTCTGTTTTCAATTTTTTTATTTTTTCTCATAGTTTGCGAATTTCCGAAAATACCTTCAAGAAGTACGTGCGCAAAATGTTTTATACAGATAACTTTATCATCGTTCAGTGACTCTATAAAACTTTTGAGCAGTGGGAAGCTTCTTATCAGGGTGGAAGGTAAATATAATTCCAAGCTTAATGGTACCTACGGATAAAAAACACAAAATAGAACTAAATAGATATTGATTTTTTGTAAGGAAAAATACTTTGAATTTTATATAACTGTTATTATATTATATATAAGATACAAAAGTATCTTATATATACTACTCAAAAAATATTAGATTAAATAGAAACAATATAGATACAGAACTTTAGAAATATAAGAAAATATTGCGATTATCTACCTTCTTTTATTCGGTGAAACTGGTGGATGGTTTTGCACTTATGTCACATTCTGATGTCTCATCAGTTTCAGATTTAAGATTATCTATCTTATAGTCGCGTAGTTTGCGATTATGTGACAGTGGACGTGAGACTGAGTAACTGTTGTCCTCAAATTTTTCTAACTCCTCTTGTTTATGTAGTTTTTCTTCTTTAGACATACTACTATATCTAAATACAAGTAGTTCAAAAAAGTGATGTATGTAAAATGTAGAATCAAATATACATAACAAAATATATACTTTTTACAATATAAATACTTAAGTATATAAATAATACAAATTAATAAATATCTACATTTTAAAATATAAATTATTAAATACATAATTATTATATTACTTACTATATATAAGATAAATATAAATAGTGTTTTATGTACTATCTGGATATATTCTCTTACTTTTTCTCTATTTCAGACTTCTTCTCAGAGTTGCATGTGAAAACAATGAACTTTTCAGGGTCACCTTCTACAGGTTCCTTATATATTAATCCTAATAATTGAAGCTGGTCAAGTACTATTGTCGTTAGTATATCTTTTTCTAAAGGTTTTCTTGCATTTTTCTAAAAAAAACAGACTAAATAATAATAGAATATTACAAATTTTGTTACATCATAGTATTATATGAACAATTTTAATCTTTGTCGTACAGCGCACATAGCGTATCTTAAGGATGTTCTCCGAATTATTGATTTTCTTAGGATTTTCTTAAAATTTGCAATATACATAGTTTATGATCTTATTTATACGTAGCCTTTTTGGATAATAAGGATAGCAATGTTAAATTCCAAAATATGGAAGATTTAAGTTTCAATTTTTAACATGGATTTCCTATGCTAAGCCTTTGCGAAGTGGGGTTTTAAAGTTACTGACGACAATGTTTGTAGGATTTTTTTAAAAAACAAGTATGTGGTAACGGAGAGTGTCTTAATTAGAATACGATTTTGAATAATATGGCAAGCAACCCTTATTTTCACACTATAGCTCTTTTTTGGTTTTTTTTGTTTTGCTAGGTTTATGTGCGCTGTGTACTGCAGCTATTTTTGAACTTCTGCGTAGAGTAATTAGCGGGTCTTAGCAGTGCTGAATAGCTCAACTTAACTTTGTTACAGCTGTACAACCTTACTCATGAGAAGAGATATTTTAGGTTGCTAATCACTGTATTTAGGTTGCTAACCACTGTAGTCGGAGAACGTCCTTAACCCTCGGAGAACACACTGGGTCAATTTGACCCTGTTCGTCGACTTTGATCAAATTATTTTGCTTCAATTTCGCTTTTTTATAACATATTTTTTACAATGTTAATAATGTTAACGACACTATAAAACTATATAGGCATATTCCAAACTGTTCAAAATATATCCAAAAATTTTTTCAAGCCACTCGGATAAGTGCATTTTAAATGGTAGCATCTCAAAAAGTAGACAAGGTCAAATTGACCCAAATTGTTCTTCTTGATTGAAAAAATAGGTGTGTTCCCCGAGGATTAAGGCCTATTGCCGTACACAGTTAAAATGGCGTTCGTCGATGAAAATCGACTCTCGGCCGTAAAAGATACAGTCGGCAGACATTAATTATACTTTCGACAACAACACTCAAATAGTTAACACAGTATAATATCTTGTTTATACACACGTGCGAGAGCGCACACACACAAACACAAACACACATGTAGTTTACTTGCATTTAGAATATATTGTTTAATATATCTAGATATCGTTGTGTTATAAAAAAAGTATAATATGTATATACTTTACCCTCTTCACAGGTCTTAGATACTTCTTAACCAAATCCGTAAACAGGGCACAAAATCTTTGGTTGGCTTCTATATTTGCAACGGAATAGCGCCACACATTTGCACGTTCCTCGAAATCTTCATCAAAATACTCATCTTGATTTTCCATTCGTATACTACCTCGGGCAATGTACTCGTCCAAAGTATTTTGTTCTTCATCTAAGGTATACTTGTTTTAACCATGTTTCTCTAGTTTTGCTTCCGAATCTGTAGTTTCTTCTGCTTCCATTTTGTGCACTGGTAAGTCAACCGTGCACAAATTAAAAGCGGAAGAAAAACTACAGATTTGAGAAGTAAACAAGGAACAACATGTTAAAAAAAGTATATCTACCACTTTCTGTAATTTGATCCATTTCTGTTTCATCCTCTTTCTGTGGACGTCTTGCTTCAAGATCCATTTTCTTTCGAAGTTCTTCGTTTTCTTTTTGTAGCACAACACCGTTTATGAAAATGCGCACACGTACAAAACACTTTCGAACGACTGATAGAAAACCATGACTATGTAACGATTTTATACGTCTCCAACGTCTTTGTATAACGTCAGCCAATAGCGTACTAACATTTCGTTGCGGTGAACTTCCCCTAATATTTTCTTCTTAGGCTGTGATCTCGTAGAGCACGTAGTTTTCCTGTGATGCGTACCGCATAACGAATCACATCTCTTCTTTTTTTCCTATAAAAGTTTTTTCTAACAGAAATCTCGAAGCTCATTGGTTACGACGGTCGCACGAAGAGAATGCGTGCTGTTTTTTATGTGCTTCTTGATATTTCTATATATCAAAAATACAGTTGAAATTAAGAGTGAATATACTTTTATGTTTAAAGAGAATACGAATTAAATAACAAAAACTAAATTCCTATCTTTTCGTTTTCTTTATTTATTATTACGCGTCAGCTATGGAAAGTGTAGCTAAGGCACAGCCCATATAAGAATCAGACTGAAAATTGTGCTGAAAATGTAGATTACGTTTACACGACAACGTTATTTCGGTTTAGTAACTGTTGTCGCAAAATCACAATGGCCAGTTTGATCAATCGATCAATTGTGATAAGTCAATTAGTTCTGATACTGATGACATTCGATCTATATGTTCTACATGTATGTATAATTAGAAATTTTTAGAAGATGCGACAACTAGTTCGAAGCCAGAGCTACGATCACGCATTAGCAAGGATATGTTCAAAAATCCTTGATTACTACAATGCTACATTTAACATCACGTGTACTATAGGTTTTGGTTACCAACACTTTTGGAACATACCTCAGAAAGGAACAAGTCAATGGACGATCGAATCGACATCTTTTGGCCTGTAGGCGCATTTCAGTTGAGACACATTAGGTTTATTTTATTTCCCTGCACTGGCTGTACTAATTCACAGTCTATCTTTTTTTTTCTAATATAAATAAAAATAAATTGTACTTTTTGTATACTTTTTAGATCTAGGAGAACTTTAGCACAAAATCGTTTTATATATTCGGTTTTATTCATTGCATGCATTACGGAGAGTTCACTGAGTCTAAGAATTTCTTGAGTGCCGAAAATTTATTTTTGTAACCGGTGTTGCTTCTTTTTGGAATGGAAATGTAGAATCAAAGCTAAATGTTAATTACGGATGAAGAACACAAAATGGAATTAGATAGCAGTTTTTTGTAACGAAAAATATCTTGAATGTTATATAACTATAAAAAATAACTTATACATAAATAATAAATAAATATTACTATTTAAAATGAATACTACTATTCTAATATAAGAATAGATGAAACAATATAGATATAAGACTTTAGAAATAAAGAAGCATTACGATTATCTAACTAATCTTTGGTAGAGCTAGTGGATAGTTTTGCAATTATCTTACATTGTATTTATCGTTTATTTGTCTCTCAAATTAATTTATTGCTCCCAGCAAGACATAATTGTTTATTTATTGTGAAATTTAATGAGCGCCTAAATATGAGATTACCGAGTATTTTCTTTCTTTCCTCCAATATAATACACAATATATAAAGTTTCGAGAAACGTGGAAAACACTGGCGAACTATATTTACGATAGGCAACACATGCAATCGCTGTCCGTTTCATTTCGCACTTACGCATCCGTTTAATGCAACATCGAAAGAAGAAGGAAACGATCGAACAATATTCAGACGAATCGCGAGGTTAATCGATATCGTTTATGAAACTGCTTTGCGACATTGACCGAGTGAGTAACTTCGGTTGACACGTCAACAAGTCAAACATTTTTTAAGCCGAAGAACGTGCTGCTGAAAGTGCGTTTAATTACGTCATGGGAATTCTAACGTTATAACATACTACCGCACGCACGACAAAAGCGAGATAAAGTCTTCTCATCTGACGAGCACAATTTACACGGTTCGAAATTATTCGCTTCCTAGTCGACGAACGTCTATCACGTTTAACGGCAAGAGATCGTGTAATCTGAAGAAATCGTTTCCGCGGATTGATGGGTGATTGGTGAAGTGCGCGCGGCGCCAAAAAACAGCTTACACTACTTTCATAATTAAAGATTGAGGATGCGTGTAGTACTGATTATTTTTCTGGACCTGTCCCACCAAAACGTAAAGAGAAACTTCTGCAATTCTTTCAAGATTGAGAAAAAAGTAGCGGAGTGAAAATTGCATCTCATAGTTAGTTTTAATTGAAAACTTGATAGACACTCGCGAATTAAACAGTACATACAAAAACATAATAATGGAAAATAAAAAACACTAAGAAACATTTAACTTTGCATATAATTTCTTACGAAAACAAAATATACCATATACTATCTTGGGAACACAATCTTGTTTTTTGACAAATTATTTATACAGTCTTCTAAGACAGTAATTTACATATTATATATTTAATTGTATATTATATAATACCGGCTCATTGGTCTCGCGGCCTGAGTGCAGGGGCTGCGAACTCGGAGGTCTCGAGTTCGAATCCGCTTACCACTTTGGTAAGGATTTTTTTCCGGGCCGGTTCCCTTCAACCGAGTGTATCAGTTGATCGGCGAACTAAATCGGACTTCTAATAATTAATTCGAGTATATTGAAATGTAATGAGGAGTCCTCTGGTTCGTAAAAAATCAATTGATTGGTAAGTAACGGGCTTTCGAATATAATCGTTTGGACGATAACGTGATAAGAACAACAACTTTTTCGTCAGAACAAAGAAATGTTGCATCTTGGTTATATTCCACTGATGATGACTACATAATAAAGTCGAAACGTTTGGAATAAATCGTTTACAAAAAATTTAATGCATAATACCTTGCAACCGGTTCGAAAGCCCGTTACTTACCAATCAATTAATTCGAGTATATTCCCCCCTCGAATTAATAATCCCCTTCCCTTACCCTGAGCACGAGCCTGACATAGATGGGCACGCTCACTGTAAAAGACGGCCGTGTACTGCGTGGTAGTAGTAGTGCACAACAATTTCCTCTTACGTTCTGAGGATAAAAAATGTCAACTGTTCGTATTGGCGCCGCAACTTGTTCCAAATGTCGTACGCGAAGTTAGTCAAATCTGTAAGCTTCGCGATCTCGTTATCCCGCAATTTCCAGTTTAAGGTTCTAAGTCTATGCATGTGAATCTATCAATATGCTAAGTAATGGACTTTCTGACGATTTAGAAGCTGCTAGTTAGGGTTCACTATCTGATGAGCATCTTTTGACGTCAGTGACAATAGAAGTTTCTGTAGAGGTTGTGTCAAGTTCCTTGTGTTTTTTTTTGTATTGGTGTTTGTGGTGTTGATTTGTGTGATGTTGGTTTTTGTGTTGTTAATGTTTCTGGTGTTGATATTTATAATCTATAAAACACATTAGACATTTTATTTGCACATGCGCATATATTTAAAATTTGACTTACAAAAAATGATTGACACATTGTCATTTCTGTTTTCAATTTTTTTATTTTTCTCATAGTTTGCGAATCTCCGAAAATACCTTCAAGAAGTACGTGCGCAAAATGTTTTATACAGATAACTTTATCGTCGTTCAGTGACTCTATAAAACTTTTGAGCAGTGAGAAGCTTCTTATCAGGGTGGAAGGTAAATATAATTCCAAGCTAAATGGTACCTACAGATAAAAAACACAAAATAGAACTAAATAGATATTGATTTTTTGTAAGAAATAATACTTTGAATTTTATATAACTGTTATTATATTATATATAAGTTATTTATATATAAGATACAAAAGTATCTTATATATACTACTCAAAAAATATTAGATTAACTAGAAACAATATAGATACAGAGCTTTAGAAATATAAGGAAACATTGCGATTATCTACCTTCTTTTATTCGGTGGAACTGGTGGATGGTTTTGCACTTATGTCACATTCTGATGTCTCATCAGTTTCAGATTTAAGATTATCTATCTTATAGTCGCGTAGTTTGCGATTATGTGACAGTGGACGTGAGACTGAATAACTGTTGTCCTCAAATTTTTCTAACTCCTGTTTATGTAGTTTTTCTTCTTTAGACATACTACTATATCTAAATACAAGTATTTAAAAAAAGATGTATGTAAAATGTAGAATCAAATATACATAACAAAATATATACTTTTTACAATATAAATACTTAAGTATATAAATAATACAAATTAATAAATATCTACATTTTAAAATATAAATTATTAAATACATAATTTTTATATTACTTCCTATATATAAGATAAATATAAATAATTTTTTATGTACTATCTGGATATATATATTCTTTTACTTTTTCTCTATTTCTGACTTCTTCTCAGAGTCGCATGTGAAAACAATGAACTTTTCAGGGTCACCTTCTACAGGTTTCATATATATTACTCCTAATGATTGAAGCTGGTTAAGTACTATTGTCGTTATCATACCTTTTTCTAAAGGTCTTCTTGCATATTTCTAAAAAAAAAAAGACTAAATAATAGAATATTACAAATTTTGTTACATCATAGTATTATATGAACAATTTTAATCTTTGTCGTACAGCGCACATAGCGTATCTTAAGGATGTTCTCCGAATTATTGATTTTCTTAGGATTTTCTTAAAATTTGCAATATACATAATTTATGATCTTATTTATACGTAGCCTTTTTGGATAATAAGGATAGCAATGTTAAATTCCAAAATATGGAAGATTTAAGTTTCAATTTTTAACATGGATTTCCTATGCTAAGCCTTTGCGAAGTGGGGTTTTAAAGTTACTGACGACAATTTTTGTAGGATTTTTTTAAAAAACAGTATATGGTAGCGGAGAGTGTTTTAATTAAAATACGATTTTGAATAATATGGTAAGCAACCCTTGTTTTCAAACTGTAGATTTTTTTTTGTTTTGCTGGATTTGTGTGCGCTGTGTACTGCAGCTATTTTTGAACTTTTGCGCAGAGTAATTAGCGGGTCTTAGCAGTGCTGAATAGCTCAACTTAACTTTGTTACAGCAGTACAACCTTACTCATGAGAAGAGATATTTTAGGTTGTTAACCACTGTATTTAGGTTGCTAACCACTGTAGTCGGAGAACGTCCTTAAGGCCTATTGCCGTACACAGTTAAAATAGCGTTCGTCGATGAAAGTCGACTTTCGGCCGTAGAAGATACATTCGGCAGACATTAATTATACTTTCAAAACAACACTCAACTAGTTAACACAGTATAATATCTTGTTTATACACACGTGCGAGCGCGTACACATCCCCATACACACACACACACACACACACGCACACACACACACACACACACACACACACACTTGCATGTAGTTAACTTGCATTTAGAATATATTGTCTAATATATCTAGATATCGTTTTTATAAAGAAAGTATAATATGTATATATTTTACCCTCTTTACAGGTCTTAGATACTTCATAACCAAATCCTTAAACAGGGTACAAAATCTTGGGCTGGCTTCTTCAGTTGCTAAGTCATAGCGCCACATGTTTGTACATTCATCAAAACAGCAGTCTTCATGAAAATCTTCATCCGGATATTCGTCGCGTTTATGAGCTTCGCGTATATGCTCTTCCAAAGCATTCAGTTCTCTATCTAAGGTATGCTTGTTTTAACCATGTCTTTCTATATTTGTTTCCGAATCAGTAGTTTTTTCTGCTTCCATTTTGTGCACTGGTAAGTCAACCGTGCACAAATTAAAAGCGGAAGAAAAACTACAGATTTGAGAAGTAAACAAGGAACAACATGTTAAAAAAAGTATATCTACCACTTTCTGTAATTTGATCCATTTCTGTTTCATCCTCTTTCTGTGGACGTCTTGCTTCAAGATCCATTTTCTTTCGAAGTTCTTCGTTTTCTTTTTGTAGCACAACACCGTTTATGAAAATGCGCACACGTACAAAACACTTTCGAACGACTGATAGAAAACCATGACTATGTAACGATTTTATACGTCTCCAACGTCTTTGTATAACGTCAGCCAATAGCGTACTAACATTTCGTTGCGGTGAACTTCCCCTAATATTTTCTTCTTAGGCTGTGATCTCGTAGAGCACGTAGTTTTCCTGTGATGCGTACCGCATAACGAATCACATCTCTTCTTTTTTTCCTATAAAAGTTTTTTCTAACAGAAATCTCGAAGCTCATTGGTTACGACGGTCGCACGAAGAGAATGCGTGCTGTTTTTTATGTGCTTCTTGATATTTCTATATATCAAAAATACAGTTGAAATTAAGAGTGAATATACTTTTATGTTTAAAGAGAATACGAATTAAATAACAAAAACTAAATTCCTATCTTTTCGTTTTCTTTATTTATTATTACGCGTCAGCTATGGAAAGTGTAGCTAAGGCACAGCCCATATAAGAATCAGACTGAAAATTGTGCTGAAAATGTAGATTACGTTTACACGACAACGTTATTTCGGTTTAGTAACTGTTGTCGCAAAATCACAATGGCCAGTTTGATCAATCGATCAATTGTGATAAGTCAATTAGTTCTGATACTGATGACATTCGATCTATATGTTCTACATGTATGTATAATTAGAAATTTTTAGAAGATGCGACAACTAGTTCGAAGCCAGAGCTACGATCACGCATTAGCAAGGATATGTTCAAAAATCCTTGATTACTACAATGCTACATTTAACATCACGTGTACTATAGGTTTTGGTTATTAACACTGTTGGAACATACCTCAGAAAGGAACAAGTCAATGGACTATCGAATCGACATCTTTTGGCCTGTAGGCGCATTATAGTTGAGACACATTAGGTTTATTTTATTTCCCTGCACTGGCTGTACTAGTTCACAGTCTATCTTTTTTTTTCTAATATAAATAAAAAAAGATACACTGTGAACTAGTGCAGCCAATGCAGGAAAAAAAAATCTATTAACTTACATTTGTGTGTTGTGTCATATAAGATATTTAGTACCATTTCAAAGCGCATGTCGAACTAAAATCGAGTCAATAGCATATCATTTTTTACGTAATATGTATTACACATATTTTTTTAAGTATTCGGCCATAAAAACATGGAAATATATATTTTTTTAAATTATTCAGTCATTGTGATTCGTATTTTGTAGTACATCTTGAAGAGCAGTAGTTTCTAAATCGTTTAGAATCGTGATTTATATAATTGTTGCGCTAATTAGTTAGTTATAAAATTAATATACTGTCATTCCCTACGTATAATCCCGTAACTCCAAAACGCAAAGTTTAGAGAAGAGCAGTTTAAAAGCTTAAAGCTTCATATAGTTTCTCTAGTTAAGGAATCTTTCGGTTTTTAATTTTTACTTTATTTATGAATATTTTTTTTTAATATTTGGTGACCATAAAGAACATGACTTTCTAAGTGTCACTATGCAATAAACTGAAAATCCCGTATGTGACACTTATGTAATTATACGTAGGGAGTGACGATACAATGTAAAATGCAACTATTTCGCCATTTTGGCGGGACTTCTAATCTCCTGAGCACTTTATATTTTCTGACGTTATTCTCTTTCTCTCTCCCTCTTTTCTGCCAATTATTCTTCTTCTCTTCCCCACTCTTCTCGCAATTATAATATAAAAACTCTATTGCATACAAATAATTGAAAAACTTATTTAAAGTATTTTCAAATGTCAAAAGATTGGTTTTACAGAAAAATATCTCGTCAAATATAATATCATGAAACAAATGCTCTTTATCAAAATTAGAGGAAAAAATGTACATGTGTTTAATTTTTCATTTTACAAAGAATAGTATATGTATAATATGTTGCAGATAAAACTACTACTGTTCGCGAATTGTCTGATCGGGCGTCTGCAAAGTGGCTAGCAAAATATATTTTGTTTTATCCGTAATTTTGTAGTTTTGCTCTTGACACTAACTTTAGCATGTTCTTACAAATATATAAAAAGCTTCGGCGCGTCTCTATCGTTTTGTAACACTTTCTTCAATATTTAATATTTCCGATGTCGGATGTCTTTAATTGTTTGAAGAGATACGACACTCCATAGGTGCAGTAACTTCTTTCACTATCGGTAACCGTTAATGCACGTGCGATTGCGTCCTACACGGAGATGCGGCGACTGTTTGAAGTTTGACACTCGCAAATTAGAAATTATATTGTTCTTGCAATTGAGGATTTATGCTGCCATATCGTATAAGAATAAAACACATATAATTATCGCTTATTTGTCTCTCAAAGTAATTTATTGCTCCTAACGATACATAATTGTTTATTGAGTGTGATATCGTTTAATGAACGTATATTTGTGAGTTTTTATCGAGTATTAGTAGTTTCCGTTCTTCTTTTAATATATCACACGATATGTAAAATTTCAAGAAACGGCGTGGTAAACAGTGGCAAAATAAATACACGACAAGTGAACACATGCGGTAATCGCTATCGCTTTCATTTCGCACTTTCGCATCCGTTTAATGCAACATCGAAAAGAGAAGCAATCGATCGAATGTCCATTAAAACGAATCGCGGAGCTAATCGCTGTCGTTTATGCAACTGCTTTTCGACATTAGCCAAGTGAGTAGCTTCGGCTGATACGTCAACAAGTCAAATACTTTTCGCAAGTTGAGCGTGTTGCTGAAAGTGCGTTTAAAAAGACAAGATGCGAATTCTGCTGCTACTGCATGTGTGGACGCTGACAAAACAAATGATACTGGTGTGAATTCCCGAATATGAGTTTGTCGCGCTCTGATAAAAATAAAAATAATATATAAAATTACGTTACTTGGAAATTCTAATGTCACAACATAACGCCGTTTGCACGGCGAAAGCGAGTTATAGTTTTTATCTGACGATTACAATTTACACAGTCCGAGATTACCCGCTTTCCAGTCAACAAACGTCTATCACTTTCAAGAGCAAGAGATCGTGTAATCTGGAGAAAAATCGTTTTCGCGGACGTGGATTGACGGGTGATTGATGAGGGCGCGCGTGGTGTCAAAGAACCGCCTACACTAGTTTCATAATTAAAGATCGGGGACTCGTAGTACTGATATTTTTCTGGACCTATCTCACCGGCACGTTAAAGGAAACTTTTACAATCCTTTCAAAATTGAGAAGAAAGCAGTGAATTGAAAATTACTTCTTATAGTTTTAATTAAAAACTTGATAGACACTCGTGACTTAGATAGTTCATACGGAGACAGAATAATTGAAAATACAAAAACAGTAGAAAGAATTTAACTAAAAAATAAAATACTTGTCACATATAAAAATTGTTATAAATCATAAATTATTTATAAATTATTATATATAAATTATTTAGGTATCTTAGTAGCAACTGATTGGTTTTAGTATAATGCTTTTAATATGAGCATATTTCGGATTTTTTGGTAATGCCAAATTTTTGGCAATAAATCTCCCGTTGTGCTAGGTGATAGACTTCCCGGCGATTTAGAAATTGCTACTCTTTTAAGTAATGGTTTTTTATCTGGTCTAATTAAACTGCCACGATTGGCAGTTTGTTCTGGCGACGTTGATTTAGATCTTGATGATAATAAGGGATCAACTTCTGATGAGTGTGTTTTGACGCCAGTGACAGTTGGGCTAATAAAAGTTTGTGTAGTGGTTGTGTTGAGTTTCTTGTGTTCTTTTTGTGGTGTTGATTTATAATGTTGAGTTTTGTGATGTTAATGGTTGTATTGCTTTTAATGGTGTTAATGTTTTAGGTGTTGATGTTTGTGATGTTAATGTTTCTAGTGTTGATATGACTTATAAAACAATAGACATTTGATTTGCACATGTGTGTATATTTTTGTGATATTAAATGATTACACATTGTCATTTATACATGTCAATCACTTTTTTTACTTTTTTTAGATCATTTTTTAGATTGACGAGCGCTTTCGTACAAAGACTTTCTAGATTTTCAATTTTATTTTCTATACTTTTGTTCAAAGAGTTCAGTGACCTTAATAATTTCTTGAGTGATGACAATTTATCTTTGTGAACCATAAATGATGTCGCCTCTTTTCAAGAAGGTGGAAAATGCAAGCTAGATGTTAACTAGGGATACAGAACACAAAATGGAAGTAGAAAAATATTGGTTTTTTTTGTAACAAGAAATAAAATTTGCATTTTAAATAATTATACAAACATTTAACTTATGTATAATAAATCCATAATAATATTCTAAATGAATAATAAGAGTCTAATAGAAGAATAGATAAAACAATATAGATATAGAATTTTCAAAATATAAAGAAACATTGCGATTATCTACCTTCTTTTGTTCGGTGGAACTATTAGGCGTCTTTTGACGCTAATTGGTTTAATAGGTTTTTTTGTCACAATTTTCCTTGTAACATTTTTTGTAGTGTTATTGAATCTACAAAGTTTACTCGTGTTTGTGTTTTCACTGTTTTTTTTGTTGATGTGATCTGTAAAACAATAGATATTTTATTTGCACATGCATGTATATTTACGTGATAGTAACTGATTACACATCGTCATTTATATATTATTTATTTTTTTTATTTGCTCACAGTTAGCTTATCTTCGAAAATGTCAAAAACAAGCTCACGCAGAAGCCGTTTTATACAGTTAAGTTTATTGTCATTCAGTGACTCTATGAATCTTTTGAACCTAGGGAACTTGTCGCTTTTTATCTTGGAAAATAGAACATCCACGCTAAATGTTATCTACAAATAAAATTTACACAAAATGAAACTGGATAGATTAGTTAGTTTAGTTTTTTATAAGAAAAAATACTTTGAATTTTCTATAACTATACAAAATTAATTTATATATACTAATCGACAAATATAAGAATAAATAGAAACAATGTAGAACTTTAGATATATAAAGAAACATTGCAATTATCTACCTCCTCTTGCGTGGAACTAGTGGATGGTTTTGCAGTTTTCTCACATTCTGATGTTTTATCAGTTTCAGATTTAAGATTATCTATTTTATAGTCACGTAGTTTGCGACGACTGTGTGGACGCTCACTGTCTACAAATTTTTTTATCTTCTCTTGTTTTTGAAGTTTCCCCGCTTCAGACATACTACCATCATGTCTAAACACAAATATTAAAAAAGTGATATATGTAAAAAATAGAATTAAATAAAAATAATAAAATATATAATTTTTACAATATAAATAATATAAATTAGTAAATATATAAGTGTTAAAATATAAGTGTTAAAATTAGTAAATATGTAATTTTTATATTATATTATTATATATTGGATAAATATAAATAGTGTTTTGTGTAATTTCTGGATAAATTTTTATTCTTATTATTTTAGCCTTGTCTTACTCAGGGTCGTATGGATAAATAGTAAACTTGGCAGGGTCATCTTCTACAGATTCCTTATGTATTATATTCAACAAGTCAAGTTGGTCAAGTACTATTTTTAGTACTTCTTTATTTTCTAAAGGTCTTCTTATATGTCCCTAAATAAGACAGCATAAATAATAAAATAATACAGACTTTGTTAAATCATAGTATTATAGTAACAATTTTAATATCTTTCGTACGTCGCACGTGCACCGCTTAGCGTATCTTGCGACATATTGCCGCATATAAACCAACTAGACGTTCGTCGACTAAAGTCGAATCTCTCGGCCGTAGAAGATGCATTCAGCAGTCATTGACTTTAGTCGACAACACTGAAGAAGTTAACACAGAATAATATCTACACTTGCGCGCGCATGTATACACACATACACACACTTACATATTTGCATGTATTTTACTTGCGTATAGAATATATTGTCTATTAAATTTAGATACATCATAGTTTTAAAGAAAATACAATATATATGTACTTCATTTTATATATATATATACTTTACCTTCTTCACAGGTTTTTGATACTCCATAACCAAGTCTTTAAACAAGTTACGGAATCTTTGGCTGACTTTTTGATTCGCTACGTCATGGCACATATTTGCACGTTTATCGAAGTCCTCATCAAAGTCCTCATTGCCGTCCGAAATATTTGCACGATCGTCGATGTTCTCATCATCGTCTAAATATTTATGTTGTCTAATATCATTACGCGTGTACATGTCGTCACGATCATTTTCTTTATCTGTGGTATACTTCCTATTACCATATCTTTTTATTATTGCTTCCGAGTCTGTTTCTTCTGCTTCCGATTTGTCCACTGTTGAGTCAATCAGTTTTGTCTTTTTTTCTAATTCCAATTCTGGAACTTCCGATTCTATCACCACCCACTGATTCATTGTCGTGTCGTCCTCTGTTTTCGGACTGTTTGCTTTAGGATCCATTTTCTTTTTACGTTCTTTTCTCTTTGCAGCACACCGTTTATAAAAATGCGTGCACGTACAAAATACTTTCGAACGACTAAGAGAAGACTGTGACTGTGTAACGGTTTTCTACGTCTCTATCCGTCTAACGTCTTTGTATAACGCAGCCAATAGCGTGCTAACACGTTTCGCTGCATTGAACTTCCCCAAATATTTTTTCTATGGTTGCGATTTCGTAGAGCGTGTAGTTTTCCTTGTGACGCGCATCGCGTAACCATTCACACTTTTTCTTCTTTCGTGTGAAAGTTCCAACAGAAATGCTGAAACTCATTGGTTACAGCGGCACGAGGAGAATACGTGCTGTTTTTTTATTCGCTTTTTAAAACTTGTATATCTCGTAAATACAGTTGAAGTTAATGACTGGTCTCATATATATATTTTAAGAAAATTATTCAGTCATTGTGATATGTAATCTGTAGTTCATCTTAATAAACAGTGGATTGTAAATTGTTTACAATTGTGATTTATATTATTGTTATAGTTGCGTCACTTAGTTAAAAAATTAATACACAAAGTAAATTGCAAACAGTTTGGCATTTTGGCGGGACTTTTAATATATTCTTGAGCATCTTGTAGTTTCTGAAGTTATTCTCTCTCTCTCTTTCTCTCTCTCTCTCTCTCTCTCTCTCTCTCTCTCTTTCCTTTTTTCTCTATTTTTGCCAATTGTTTCCTGTTGGCACACCGATAGAACAGGGAGAAGAAGCGTCCATGATAAATCTCCTTAGGAGGAAAAGTAGTTGCTTAAAAATACACACACACACACATACACACGACGAAAATTGAGCATTCAGAGTGTGTGAAAAAAGTTTTTGTCTCGTTTGTTTCTCGGTACTTCGCGTTTTCCCTATTTTGTCGTTGCTATCTTTGTTTTCTTTCTTGTCCGTTTGTCGCTTTCTTGCACGGTAATCGTGCCTTTTTGTGAGTTGTTTGGTGATTGAGAAAATAATTAAAGGTGGACGGCGCTTATTAGACAACTTACAAATATCTTCGGCGTATGCAGATGTAATATACGCACGTTGCCACTGCGCTCGTTTTGTTTTAAATAAAATATTACCAGCGCGATAATTTGACGATAATGTTTAAGTCACATCGATTATGCTTGCTCGACGATTATTTTCCCCACTTCTCGCGATTACTATACAAATCACTATCACATAAAATGATTGAAAATCTTATTTAAAGTATTTTCCAATGACAAACTATAATATAATATCATGAAACACATGCTATTTATCAAGACCGTCCCAGTGATCTCTCTGACCTGAATGCAAGAGTTACGAATAGTAGGTTTCGAGTTCGAATCCGCACCGTCGGATATTTCCGGGTCGGTCTCTTTCGAATTTGTACTTTTTGTATATTTTTCAGACCTAGGAGAACTTTAGCACAAAAGCGTTTTATATATTCAGTTTTATTCATTGCATGCATTACGGAGAGTTCACTGAGTCTAAGAATTTTTTAAATGCCAAAATTTTATCTTTGCAACCGGTGTTGCTTCTTTTTGGAATGGAAATGTAGAATCGAAGCTAAATGTTAATTACGGATGAAGAACACAAAATGGAATTAGATAGCAGTTTTTTGTAACGAAAAATATCTTGAATGTTATATAACTATAAAAAATAACTTATACATAAATAATAAATAAATACTACTATTTAAAATGAATAATATAAGAATAGATAAAACTATTCTAATATAAGAATAGATGAAACAATATATAGATATAAGACTTTAGAAATAAAGAAGCATTACGATTATCTAACTAATCTTTGGTAGAGCTAATGGATAATTTTGCAATTATCTTACATTGTAATTATTGTTTGTTTGTCTCTCAAATTAATTTATTGCTCCCAGCAAGACATAATTGTTTATTTATTGTGAAATTTAATGAGCGCCTAAATATGAGATTACCGAGTATTTTCTTTCTTTCCTCTAATATAATACACAATATATAAAATTTCGAGAAACGTGGAAAACACTGGCGAACTATATTTACGATAGGCAACACATGCAATCGCTGTCCGTTTCATTTCGCACTTACGCATCCGTTTAATGCAACATCGAAAGAAGAAGGAAACGATCTAACAAGATTCAGACGAATCGCGAGGCTAATCGATATCGTTTATAAAACTGCTTTGCGACATTGACCGAGTGAGTAAGTTCGGCTGACACGTCAACAAGTCAAACACTTTTTAAGCCGAAGAACGTGCTGCTGAAAGTGCGTTTACTTACGTCATGGGAATTCTAACATTATACCATACTACCGCACGCACGACAAAAGCGAGATAAAGTCTTCTTATCTGACGAGCACAATTTACACGGTTTGAAATTATTCGCTTCCTAGTCGACGAACGTCTATCACATTTAACGGCAAGAGATCGTGTAATCTGAAGAAATCGTTTCCGCGGATTGATGGGTGATTGGTGAAGTGCGCGCGGCGCCAAAAAACGGCCTACACTACTTTCATAATTAAAGATTGGGGATGCGTGTAGTATTGATTATTTTTCTGGACCTGTCCCACTAGAACGTAAAGAGAAACTTCTACAATTCTTTCAAGATTGAGAAAAATGCAGCGGAATGAAAATTGCATCTCATAGTTAGTTTTAGTTGAAAACTTGATAGACACTCGCGAATTAAACAGTACATACGAAAACATAATAATGGAAAATAAAAAACACTAAGAAACATTTAACTTTGCATATAATTTCTTAAGAACACAAAATATACCATATAATATTTTAGAAACACAATCTTGTTTTTTTGAGAAATTATTTTATACAGTCTATAAAATTCATTAAAAAAATGCCTTAATATAATATAAAATTAAAATAATTTTGATATAAAAATTATAACTTCTATATTATTTCCATGGGTTAGGAGTAATCTTAGAGGGTGAATTTGAAAAACAATTTTTTTAAATCAAAACTATTGAGTGCAAAAAACTTAGCGCGGCTGCACTTCAAATAATAAACTGAAAATTTGGAATTATTGTAGTTTATGTTAGTCATAGAAACTAATTTTTGATATAATGTAAACCAAGGCACTATCGTGTCTTTTAATGCTTCTTGTATATAATTTATAAATATCTCGCGCGCGCGCATAAGAAACGTCTGTCCGTATTCGGTGCAGCCGCGCCAAGTTTTTTGCACTCAATAGTTTTGATTTAAAAAAATTGTTTTTTTTGTAAAACAGGTTTTGTAGAAAAGGAATGGTTTATTAGTATATAATAAATTAAAATCTAAATTTTTCTTATACAAATAATGAAGAAAACAGTTTGAGTTAATAATATAACAACGTACAAAAGTTTAGTTGGTGCAACATTTTGATATCACTTCTTTTGTAGAACAGATTTTGTAGAAAAGAAATGTTTTGTAGTATATAATAAAATAGTAGTAACAAATAAAATAGTACTAAAAAATAAACTTTTTTTATATAAATAATGAAGAAAAACATTTGAGTTAACATTTTTAATTTAAGTCAATTTAATACAATAAAGTACAATACGATACGTGTTGTGCGTGTACGTCTTGGCGCCTTTTTTTTACCTTTTTTTGAAAAGGTAAGTTTTTCGAGATATCACACATTTTGTAGTATATACGCCGTATTGTTATATAAGTTAAACTATAGTATATATAGTATAACTATAGTATATAGTACTAATAAGCATAGTATTTAAAATTGGCTTTTTGAAACAGTTCAAACAAAATAACAGAAGAATTATATGTGAAAACTGATTAACTACATTGACTGTCATTCATTTCGACATTTTCCTGAGCATATCAACAAAATGTTCGTATTCTCGATAATCATTTTTATATATACAAGGTGTCCCGGTATGACCGTAACATCTCTCGTAAGTAAGTAGAAGAAGTAAAACTGAGTCCAAAAGTCCTATACTATTTTTCTCTATTACATGTAATAGAGAAATAATTATTGAATAAATCAGGCCAATCAGCGCCGACCTTTAGCCAAGCGCCACGTCAGTGACCCGCGCGCATGNTAGCATGCATGAGTGCTTCGCGTGCGCCCGGCTAAAGGTCGCCGCTCATTGGCCTGATTTATTCAATAATTACTCCTTTATTACAGGTAATCGAAAAAAATGGTATAGGACTTTTTGACTCAGANTTACTTCTTCTACCTACGAGAAATATTACGGTCATACTGGGACATCCTGTATATATACAAGTCATCATTGAAAACCCTGAATTACTTTTGTAGATATTATTTATATATATATATACATCAGTCCAAGAATGTGTCCATTTTCTGCTTTCAAGAGATGGCGGTAGGGCGGTAGAAGCGCGAACAAAAAAAAAGAAAGAAAATTGTAATATCTGATGAGAGAGAGAGAGAGAGAGCGAGTAAGCGAGCGAGTGAGCGAGCGACGATCAAACGAACGAGTAAGTGAGTGAGTTGCTGAGTCAGAGAGAGAGGGAGAGAGAGAGAGAGAGAGAGAGAGAGAG